CGGGTGGCCATCCACATACGTTCGGGCGGCATGTATTATCGCTTCCGCCCCTCCAGGCACCGCCACTCCGTACTGTAGGGGTAGGAAATGATCACGTGCAGCTTCGCCCATGACCAACAGCGCAGCCTTGGCAGCCAGACGCGTCAGACATTCGCCGATCGCGATTGGTCGGGCACCTCCTCCAGGCTTGGCCAGGGCAATGAGTCGAGATGCTGTCAGCAGGTCTGCCACCGAGGCTGGAAGATTTCCCCCTAGAATTGTGTTTACCAGGGCGTGCAGATGGGTGCAGACGGATGCATTGGTTACTGCCGCGTCGCGAAGATGTTCAAATGTCGTTCCTGAGGGTCCGGCCCCCACACCATTATCGCATCGCCCAAGCATCTTCGCAAATTCTACGTGTGAAATGCCTAGGGTTCGGGTGTCGGTCGTTTGCCAAGTCAGCGACTCTGCTCCTGCTGGAGGGTGTTTCTGGCGAAGTTCAGCCAGAATTTCTGGACTCGGCGTGCAGACGGGTGTTGACTCGAGCGTCAGCACGGCACGGCGCAGACTGCCACGTTTTGCCAACCCCTCCGCTCGACTCAAAACACCTGTCACATCGGGTTGATGACGCGGGGGCGGAGGGGAGTTGACCGCGTTTACTGCCTCCTGGTAGAGCTGCGTCCACTCGCCACGCTGGAAAGCCCGAAGCCGGGCCTTGATATGTGGCCAGTTCGGGTGCTTTGGCGAAGCTTGGCGAAGTGTTAAACGCGGGAGGAAGAGGAGCAGTCGCCGGCCAGCCTCGGAATCGGGGTTTCGCGAGAGGTGGTGTAGGGGTGTCAGGAGTGCCAGCGAAAATAGTTGGCACAAATTTGGCGGTAATCGCCTTGACAGGGGCGGTTGTCGACTGTCGCAGAGGGCGGAAATATCCCAGTTCGCGATGTCAGCGAACATGTCGCTCCTCTCTGCCAGCTCCTGTGGCGAAAAATAGCGGGGCAACTGTGGGGTCGCGATTGACGAGTGGTTGGGAATTGCGGTCCGATTTCTTCGAGCGCGGCTCGATCTCGCTGAATGTTGCCGAGATGGGTTTACGTCCGTACGATCAGCTGCCGACGGCCCTGATTGTCCGTGCGTTCCTGCCGTGGGTAAATTGGCTGCACCTGGTCCTCTCCTTCCCAGTCCTTCCCTTGTTGTCTCAGCACCAACTCCTTCTTCGTTTTCACTCTCTGGCTCCACTTCCACGCTATAAGAGGGGTCATTTCTCTCCTCGACTTCATTAGCTGCCACCAGAGCTATTAAAGCCCTTCTCCCTGCCGCCTGATACCCGTTCTCCGGTCCTCCGCCTGCCCCGCTAAACTCCTGACTCCTTTCTTCCCGAGACTCCTTTCTCTCTCTCTCTCTCTCTCTCTCTCTCTCTCTCTCTCTCTCTCTCTCTCTCTCTCTCTCTCTCCCTCTCTCTCTCTCTCTCTCTCTCTCTCTCTCTCTCTCTCTCTCTCTCTCTCTCTCTCTCTCTCTAATGGTCCGTGTATTGATATAGCAGCAAGGTACAAGCATGCAGTGTATGGGTGTAACAAACAAGCAAGCAAAGCACCAATTCCTACTCACTATTCCCCTAGATCTCCAAGAAGGGCTCTACCACCGCAAAACAGTCCCCTAGGTGTAACTCTTGACCAATACCCCCTACAGGCGGGTTCTCTGCTGCTGCCGCCTGGCCCAACTTGAGTAGAAGGCCCGCTGATTGGGCCCTCTGAAGGGCCACTGACCATTGCTGCCGAAACTGGTGCAGGAACTTGGCGGCATAAAAGGATTTAGAGTCGGCGTTGAAGTGGCGCCGAGCCGCCGTGTCTGCAAGTAGCTTCAGGAAGGTTGGTACTTCCGCGCATGGGCAGCCATAGGTGTCGACTGCCAATGGAAAAAAGCCAACCGTCTCCGGCCGGTTGGCGTAATGCTGGATTTTCTTATCCGCTTGTTCTCGTGCCGCCCAACCCCTGCCTTTCTGCGCCTCTGGGTCCCTCGTGCTTATCGGGTCCGTGATGGTGACATCACAGACATAAACCGCTCCGCTGCTTCTATCCGTCATGGTAAAGTCGGCGGTTTGTTCCTCGATAGGGCAATGGACGGCCGACTCGCCGTGAACGATGAAACCTGCGTGCTGCGCCATGCTAATGCACGCATCCCGTAGCTCGTTGTGGGTGTTAATGCGGTGTTTGCCCAAACCGCAGCGGAGGAGATGGTTCGGCAGGCGGGGATCAGTGATGGCAGTCTTGTCCGCGCAGTCGCAGTTCTTAGGGGTTGAAAAGGGGAGGGCCAGGCGGAATCGAACGGCGTTGGCGAAGTGTACGGGGCCTATCCGTCTCGTGGGTTCAATGGGGATCGCGGTCAGCCAATCGCCGGTGCCATATCCTGTCAGCGAAAACATACGCTGAGTGTGGCCTGAGAGTGGGTTTAGCCGCATGCGCCTGGTTGCCTGGACCTGTACGGCGTATCTACTTCCGTGCACCTTTAGCCGGAGCACATGTTGCAGCCTAATATCCGATCGCTCCAGCCGCTCCTTCTCCAGGATCTCACGCGCGTCTAGTGGTAGAGCCGCTTCGCACTCCTTAAGCCAAGAGTGCATCGGCGTGCTGTCATCTCTTGGCAGCAGCATGTGGTTCTGAGCGATCGTCAAAGCATTCTCCGGTGCTAGCGCCAGGGAGGACAGGAACAGCGCCGCTTGAGTGAAACTCGCTGTGTAACCGTAGATCCCTTCAACGAGTGGGTTTGTAATGCCGATGCCACCCAGCGATGTGGGCAGCGACGCCTGCTCCCACACACGCGCTTGCTCGGTGCGGCACGTTGGCATGCGGATGTCGCAGGAGGTGAGCAAGGTAGTGAGCAGGTCCCGACCCCACTGGCTCCAGGTGTCGCGGGGGAGTAGGTGGAGCGGTGTCGTTCTGATGAGGTAGGCTACTCGTCTAGAAATGCATCGCGTGAGTAGTAGCGCGGCTACTTGGGGGTCAGCTCGTTCTATAAGTGGCAGCGGCTTTGTCATCTCGGCTAGCTGTTCGGTTAGGAAATTAGCTGCTCCGACGTCCGTCCCCACGTAGCTACCCAGGAGCCGTACCCCGTCCTCCGAAACCGGCACCCCGGGTGGTAGTTGTGCCCGTGTGACTGTGGTCGAGCTCCAGGCCGCACATTTCTGCGGATTATGCGTCAGGCCCAGCCGTGCCAGCTTGGCTGTGAAATCTGTGAAAGCTGCTACAGTGCACGAAGTGTCACCCAGGAAGGTGACATCGTCCGCATACGCCAAACAGAGCACGTTGGGGTGTGCTTCTGCGATCTCACAGAGTGTGGGGTGTATTCCCGCTGCAAACAGTAACGGGCCTAACGGGTCTCCCTGCCGAACGCCTCGTTCACTTTGCAGCGGTTCGCAGTTGAAGTCGGCGTCCAGGAACAGCTGCGACGGGTTACCGTAGGTCAGTTTTACAAATGGCTGTAGTGGCGAGAGTCCGGGCTCCTGTAACGCGATAGCGATGGCACGTCGCGAAATGCTGTTGAACGCATTCGAAATATCGGCTTGGAGGACCAGGCTGTCGGGACGGGCATCTAAAAGTGCCCTGGCTGCGTGTATTACCGCCTCTGCTCCTCCTGGCACTGCCACGCCGTACTGAATTGGCAGGAAGTGTTCGCGGGCAGCTTCTCCCATGGCTAACAGGGTTGCCTTGGCTGTCAGCCTTGTCAAACATTCGCCTATCGCGATTGGCCTTGCTCCTCCCCCAGGTTTGGCCAGGGCTATGAGCCGTGACGCAGTCAGAATTTTTGCGACCGGGCCTGGCAAATTCCCTCCGAGCATGGTATTGACCAAGGCGTGCAGGTGGGTGCTGACCATTCCGTTGGTGATCGCCGCGTCGCGTAGGTGCTCAAATGTCGTACCTGAAGGTCCGGTCCCCACCCCGTTCTCGCACCTTCCAAGAATCTTGGCGAACTCGGCATGGGTGATGGACAGTTTTGACTCCGGTGGCTCGGGCCAGGTCACCGCTTCGGGTACTGCTGGCGGGTGCTTCTGACGCAGCTCTTCCAATATTTCCGGGCTCGGGGTGCAGACGGGTGTTGACTCCAGTGCCAACACGGCCCTGCGTAGGCTGCCACGTTTCGCCAGGCCTTCGGCTCGGCTGATGACTCCGGTCGTGTCGGGCTGGTGCCGTGGCGGTGGGGGTGTGTTGACCGCGTCGACCGCGTCCTGATACAGCTGCACCCATTCGCCGCGCTGAAAGGCTCGGAGCCGGGCTTTGACCCCCGGCCAGTTCGGTCGTTGTGGCGATGTTTGGCGAAGTGTTAAGCGCGGGAGGAACAGTAACAGGCGCCAACCCTCCTCGGATTCGGGGTTTCACGATAGGTGAAGCAACGGTGTCAGTAGCGCCAGCGAGAACAGTTGGCACAGATTAGGCGGTAAACGGCGTGTCAGCGAAGGCTGGCGACTATCGCAGAGTGCCGCGATGTCCCAGCTCGTGATGAAAGCGAACGGGTCTGCTCGCTTTGCCAGTTCGTCTGGCGAAAAATAGCGGGGGGTCGGATTTGTTTGGCGCGTCGCGACATTGGTAGTGGCGGTCCGATTTAGTCGAGCGCGGCCCGTCCGCCCTGGCAGGATTGAGGTCGGAATTTCACCCGTTCGATCGACATCGGACGGTCGATGACCCGCCTGTGCTGTTTGCGTGGCCGAGAGCCCTACCCTCGCTACTCCTCTTCCCGCTGCCTCCCTTGTTCTGCCTTCGTCCTCGATCCCCTCGTCTTCGCTTGGAGGTAGGGATTCTTCCCTATAAGAAGGGTCCCTTAGCTCGTCCTCCTCATTAGTTGCCTCCAGAGTCGTTAAAGCCCTACGCCCCGCCGCTTGATACCCATTTTCCGGGCCTCCGCCTGTCCCGCTCGTAACCTGCCTCCCCGCTCTCCTAATGGTGATTGCTGGTGCATCCGAGCCATCGCCAGAGCGCGCTGCCGCCTGGTCGGTTGTGGTCGCCCAGCCTCAGTCGGGGCCCGGAAAGGAGACCATGCCGACGGAGCCCCCTGTACCGCTGGCTCCGCCGCCCTCGACAACAGTCGCTGAAACGACTCTTCCCCACGCACCCGCGGATCCCCTTGCCGTGTCGGGTGCTGGCCCGTCTGCTCCTGTTGAGGCTCCGCCCGCTCCGCCTGCTGCACCCGTGTCCCTGGCTCCTGTGGCGGCGCCGGTGGCGTCGGTGCCTGCTGGGGAAGCCGCTGCTCGCTCTGTTCCTGCCCTTGGCGAACTCGTTGCACCGGCCGCTTCTGTCCCCGACGCGCCTGCGCCGGCGTCTGCTTCTTCCCCGAAGGCGGCGTCCGCCACCACTGTCGACCCGGCTCCGATGGTTGCGCCTCCTGGCGCGGGCCCGGCGGCTCCCGCTCAGCTGCCGGCGGCCCCTGTGGTCCAGCCGTCTCGTCCCCCGTCGCCGGACCGCCGTCTATCCCGCCCTCATTCTCCCGCGCCCCAACAGGAGCGCGAGACGTCGCGGCGCCGGCGCAACTCTCCCCGGCGCCACCAGTAGCAGGCCCAGTGGCCTGCTCACCCTGGTGGCAATGGGGGCTGGAGGGGCCCCCACGGGCGTGGTGGTGGCGGGAGGTATCGTCCGCCTGTGACAATGGCGGATCTCCAGCGGGAGGAGTCGCGGGCTGTGCGCGAGGAGAGGGCGGCGCAGAGTCAGAGCAGTTCGCTGCGGGCCGGCTCTCGTCTGCATTTGCCACCGGTTCCGCCTGTTGCGGGGGTGGAGTTTGTTGCCGCGGGTGGTGGCGCTGCGGCTCAGCAATCCCACCACATTGCTGATGAAGGGCCGCTGCTGTTTCTGACAGAGGCGCTGCAGCCCCCGCAGACGCGTGTTCCAGAGGCAACACTTGGCCAGCTCCACCGTCTCGCGGAGAGCCTCCACGCGTTGCTGCTGATTCAAGTTCTCGCTCATTCGTCGCTCCCCGTGATTCCTCCGGCGACTTTCCGCGGCCGCCAGCGTGACACGTGCTTGGACGCGGCGGACCAGCTCGCTTCGTTGCTGGCGCCCGTGTTGGCTGCGCCCGCGGAGGGTGGCGCTGCTGCTGCGGGACAGCTTGACGAGGCTGTCCGGGGCCTGAGGCGGCACTTGCGCGCAGGATCTGGAGCTGCGGCGATCGGCGCAAGCACGCTTGTGGTCCGGGAGCTGTGGCGCTCCCTGACGGGCGTTCTTCACGCTCTTGGAGCTCACCGCATGTAGGCGAGGGCTCCGATTGCACCTTCGATGCCATGCCTGTCTAGGTGCTTGTTGAAACCGTCATTGTGTGTATGTCCCTGCTTAGTATCTTTTGCGTGTGTTTGTTCTTGCCGCCCCTCACGCGCGGCCGAAGGCCGCGCTATCGAGCGTCGGCCGCCGAAGGCGGCCGGCGCGAGCCGCTCGGTTAGGAGAGCACACAAACCAAGAACTGAATAATGAAGCTCCAGAACTAGGTGATAGGGCCTTTATACTAGGTAGGAGAGGGCTGGAGGGGCTAAGGACTATGCCTCTCTCTCTCTCTCTCCTCTCTCAGCCGCTCGGTTAGGAGAGCACACAAACCAAGAACTGAATAATGAAGCTCCAGAACTAGGTGATAGGGCCTTTATACTAGGTAGGAGAGGGCTGGAGGGGCTAAGGACTATGCCTCTCTCTCTCTCTCTCCTCTCTCTCCCGCTCGGTTAGGAGAGCACACAAACCAAGAACTGAATAATGAAGCTCCAGAACTAGGTGATAGGGCCTTTATACTAGGTACGAGAGGGCTGGAGGGGCTAAGGACTATGCCTCTCTCTCTCTCTCTCCTCTCTCTCGTTCTCTCTCGTTCCCTCTCTCTCGTTCTCTCTCGTTCGTTCTCCCTCTCGTTCGTTCTCTCTCGTTCGTCCCCTCTCTCTTGTCGTCTCTCGCTCGTCCTCTCTCCCCTGTTTTGAATCCATTCTTCTTGTTTTCTCTGCTTCTTCCTTTTGGTTGTTTTGCTTTCTTCACCAGGTTGCGCGTACGCCAGATTAACTACCTTATGATTGAGCCAAGCGATTGGGAAGTGTTGGATTGTAGAATTTGATTTAGATTGTTCATAAATTTTGCATCTTCTGTTTTCATTTCTTTCTCGTCTTTTCTGTTTGTGCATTTGTATGCGGTTCTATTATCGATAGTTTGTCTTCGTGTGTGTGGGTGTGCGTACGTGTCATTGTGTGCATGCATGTGTATTTTTTTATGTTCATCATTGCATCAACAATGCATGTCTGTGAATTTTAAAAAGATGGCTCAGGTCTATCATTTCACAAAAGGTTCATTGGCGCACAAAGTGACTCGTGTGTTGCCTCTTCGAACTTGATTTGATAGGCTTGACCATTTTTTTAGGATTTACATATTGTGTTGTTTCATGTGATCGTTGATTATTCAAAATCTATGCTATTGACCTCCCCCCCATGCAAGGCAGGGGATGGCGGTAGCTTAGTTTTTGGGTCGTTAACTGTCTCGCATTTTATTATGTGCATGCATGTGCATCATGATTCATGACATATCATATTAAACATTATGCATCTTATAGCATTATTTATGCATCTTGCATCTATTTATCATTACTACAGCACCATTTACCGGTAATAGTAAAGCATACTAATACAAAGAGTAAAGCACATCTGCACAAAACCACCGATAAAAGAAAAATCATATGGTTTAACATAATGTGAACAGCATTCAAAACTCTTCAACATGTACACAGTATGGGAAGGGTATTGTAGTTTACTAATTTTATTTTCATGTTTTATTAAAATAATAAACATGAAAATGAAATTTGTCAAAATCGATCGCAAAGGGTTGCTTCGCAACCCAAAAAACAAGTCATCGAGTACGTGATCCACGTAGAGCCAGAAACATAAAGTTTCTGATTTGCCGGAGAGACCGAACACCAACTGAAGATAGTTGGGTCTCCCTAAACAACATCGAAAACCACCCTGTCATCACCGAGTACCTTCGCAACCATAATTTCCGCGACATCTACGCAATTTTGTGAGGGCATGCCTTGGGAAGGGGTGTACTGTTAGGAAACAAGTTTTCCTTACTTCACGTCACACAGCATACCGCAACCGTATGTATATATACACGGTACTATATCCGCCCCAACCGTAATCCGTTACCACTTTGCGACACTCGCATTGGTACTGTTCCCGCCACCATGACCATCACACCCAAACCACCTCGCTCGGCTGGTAGCCCGCGACCCGTCCCTACGCCTCAACATTTCCCAACCTCAGCACCAGGCCCATAGGACACCCCTTTGCGATCGCATCAGACCCTAAACTTCTACCGTTGCCAAATGGTTTCGCTATTTAACAGTTCGCTCATGTCTTACGCTCATTGTATTTTTTGCCTAGATAGTGCATCTCGCTTGATCACTCAATTGCACTCCTAACAGGTAGTTCCACATATGCTTCTCAACCCCACACAGTGACCCTATCCCCATCTAAATATTATATTATACCTCTTCCATATTTCCTGGAGTTCTAGGCCGATTCATGACACCATTTTCTTCGCATTCCGTTGTTTCACGAGCTACTTTTCATCATTCGCTCCTGCATGCTAGATGATGTTTGCATAATGGCGCGGATATCATTCATCTCTCAGCTCTATAAATCCATTCACCTCTTATGCAAACACTTTCTTCGCAAAAGTTTTCCACCACGTTTCATCCTCGACTGACACGACTGCCAAAACATATATGCTTAGTTGTATCTAGGATGTATTGGGGCTAGCTTTAGGGGGTACAGAAATCATCTCGACATTCTCCTTGTACCCCCTCCCTTGACCTAATCGATCATTCCCGTTTTACATAGTTCTCACATGGTATAGAGCATGTTGCTCCTTAGGACATGGGCCCACTGTTAGTTACTCTCCTTCCACTGCCCGAATCGCGCCCCTAGGACGCATCGTGTTTCCCTGCCCGAATCGCGCACCTAGGTGTGTCCTTTTTTTTTTCCTGCCAGAATCGCGCCTCTAGGCCGTCGGTTTTCCTATCCGAATCGTGCCCCTATGCGTGTCGATTCCCTACCCGTCACGCGCCCCTAGGGCGCTGCCATTTCGTGCTGCCCGCACGCTGCCCACGCGCTGCCCGTCAGCAGCCCGCACGCCGCCCGCGCGGACCGTACGCCGCCTGCGTAGCCCTGTGCCGCCCGCACCCGCCTGCACCCTGTACTGTTGCGCCCTGTGCTACCCGCTCGCTGCCCTGCTACGCTGCCCCGCTGCGCTGCCTGTGCCGCCAGCTAGCACCCCTGCCGCTGCGGACTGCCTATTGCCGCGCCTTGTGCTGCCCGCGCTGCCCGCTCGCTGCTGGCCCGCCGCCCGCCGTCGCGCTGCCCTGTGCTGCCCGCTGCCCACTGCCCTGCGCGCTGCATTGCCCGCGCTGCCTGCGTGCGCCATGCCTGAGCCGCCCGCGCATTGCCCTGCACCGCCCGCTCACGCCCCTGCTGCACTGCTGCACCCCCAGCTCGCACCCTGCCCTGCCCTGCTTGCGCGCCTGGCCGGCTAACACGCCTACTGCCGCTGCCTGCGTGTGCCCTGCCTAAGCCGCCCGCTCATTGCCCTGCGCCGCCCCCTCACGCCCCTGCTACACTGTTGCACCAGCAGCTCGCGCCCAGCCCTTCCCTGCTTGCGAACCTGCTGCTGCTGCTTGCACCGCCGGCTAACGTGCATGTTGCTGCTACCTGGGAGCTGCCGAACCGAGCCGCTAAACTGAGCCGCCCTTCCGAGCTGCCCTGCTGAGCCGTTCAAACCGAGCCGCCCTACTGAGCCCCTCCTTACTACTGCTACTTCTACCAATGTTGTTGCTGCCGCCACTACCGTTCTACTGCTATGGCGACCCCTACTGTTCTCACCTTTGACGGAGAGGGCCACCCGGTAGACTTCGAGTCCTGGCTAGAGGATCTCCACTTGTACCTGCAGAGCCAGACTAGGGAGGATGTCTCGCTCTATGTGCATACCTCTGGGTCCCTCGATGCCCCTCCTGCCACAGCTGCTCGTGTCAACCAGTACAGGTGGGCTTCTCGTGACGCTACTGCTGCTCTTGCTCTCCTTATCCACCTTCCGCTAAACCAGCGCTCCCACTTCTGCCTGCTTAAGACGGTCACGGCGCTTTACGATGCTGTAGTCACGTGCTACCCGTCCCCGTCGTCTGCCACTATAGGTCGTCTAGCGATGCCGTTCCTCTTTCCCGGGTTGTCGGACTTCACCACTGTAGCCGACCTCCTGATTCACCTACGCTCCCTTGAGACCCGCTATGCTGCCGCTCTCGAGCCCGCCTTTAGGGCTGAGAACAAGCCACCCGTTTATCTCACCCTTTACTTTCTCATGACTCGCCTCCCTGACTCCCTTCGTGCTGTACGCGACCACTTCCTCGCTCTAGACCCCACGAAGATCACCCTCGCCTCATTTGATTCCCGTCTCTTAGAGGCTGAGTCCGCTGCTCTAGCTGTCGCTGCCTCTCGTGGCACTCCCCTCCCCTCTGTCTTTGAGGGGTGCTCCCCCTCCCTGCTCGCGTCGTCTGTTGCCTCTGCTACTGGTGTTGACCTTTTCGGTGGTGAGGAGGTTGGTGTTGCGTCTGCTCCTAGTGGGAAGCAACGCAGCGGCAAGGGCAAGGGTGGCAAGGGTGGGGGTGGCGGGGGTGGTGGGGGTGGCGGGGGCAGCAGTGGTGGCGGTGGGGGAGGAGGAGGTGGAGGCGGCAGGGGAGGAGGAGGGGGTGGTGGGAGTAGTGGGGGTGGTGGAGGGGGTGGGAGTGGCACTACGGGTGGAGCTGGAGGAGGAGGGGCTGGAGGTCCGGCCACTCGTTCAGCTGCGTCTGGTGGTGCAGCGGGGGGTGGAGGTGGCTCTGGGGGTGGCCAGCAGCAGCAGCCGAGCCGGCAGGCGCAGCTCTCGCCGCAGCAGCTTCGTGAGTGGGCGATCCGACGTGGCAGCTCAGGTGGCCCAGCTCGCTGTGGGTACGTCCGTCGCACAGGTCAGCCTGTGTCACAATAGTAGGCAGAAGGCAGGAGCCATAGCTAGGGTTTAGCTAGCTAGGCAAGAGAAAATGAGCGAAGGAGAGTTTGCACTAGCAGCAGTTGAGATACATATAGGAAACCCTAATTGGGTTGTACTCGCTATAGAGTACCCCACTGCAGGCTAGACAAGCATGATATTCTGACAGCCTGGTGCGACCTGCACTCGCACCGACCACACCGAGTCTCGTTGCATCTTTC